AAGGTAAACAGTTAAGCGGTGCTACAAAATGCAGCAGGTCCCATTTGACAAGAAACACTTCTGTTACAGACACTTGGCTTACTTTGTTAAAGTGGTTTACCTGTCCAGCTGAAAGGTTACAGGGTCCATAAGATCCCGAAGCATCCACCATCATTTAATCATTGATGTTGACCTGGCTTTTTAGCTCTTGTCCAGTCTACCTCCTTTTAAGCGCCTGTTATTCTGCCATAGTCTCTGGTATTTCTTGTGTTGTCAGTCATGGCCAAAGGAGGATTCAGACAATTTTCTGTACTTTGTGGTTGGTTTATACTGTACGATATTGTAGCATGCTAACTTTGTTTGGGCTCATGAATGACATGCGGGAGCAGCGTCTGCCTCACAACCAATCAGCACTGAGGAGCAGCATTCGCCTCAAAACCAATCAGGTCCGGGAGGCGGTGAATAGCTTTGTTTGCAGTCACAAAGAGCAATTTTAAAATATTGACTACACAGACATAACAAAACACAGCGATATCGTTATATTACCAAATGTCATCAATAACTAATAACTATTGACTGATATTAAAAGCTTTTATACAACACAAAAAAGATGCTTTTTTAACAGAATCCTGCCTACCCCACCTTTAATATAAGTCCCACCCATGATAAGACAAATAATAGTCAAGGTTTAGGGTTTGGGAGGTTAAAATCAAATTTCTGGAAGAGGGGGCACTGCAGGGCTGGGGCACTCCTAAACAAACCCTGATGTAACCCAGGTTAAAAATCTGTATTGAAAATAGTACATTGTGTATTAAAATCCAAGATGTTGAATTTAGAGACTGTTAAATTCATAGTGGAAAATCAATTCATTGAATATGATGCTTGTTAGCCGATTAAAAGAAACATGTTCACTTAGAAGAAGAAATTTAACAGTAACAGAAAAGTCATGGATTTGTAATTTGAAAGAGGTGGAGTGGAAACGGTCTTTCATCCAATCAGAAGAGAAGCTCCCACCCACTGATCCGATCGGCGCAGGTTCACTTCCTCTGAAGCCGCTATGAGAACGAGAGCAAGCCAGATTGAACACGAGACAAGTCAGAACACAATTTCGGATGGTAAAACTATAAAAAACCTGGATAAAACTCTGAGAAAGCTGTTGGAAAAATTCCCCGACCTGGACCTGTTTGAGCGCAGTGAGAGAAGCCGTACGGGAGGAGAAACGCATCGGTGAGTGACCAGTTTGAGATGCTAAACTGTAAAAGATAACGGCGACACGTAGCGTACGAGCTAATGTGCTATTTAATATTAGGGTAGACACTAGAAATATGAATGCGATACATTAGTCTGCCATTTTTGCATATGAGACATTTCTTTTCCTCTTTTTGTTAGTTCTTTTTCTGTGCTCACTGAGCAGTATAGAGTGTGTATTTAGCATTCTGCCTGTGAATTTTAAGCACCCTTAGCCACAGGTTACCAACTGTGCACATACATATTTTATTTCCTCATTGGCTGATGTTATTTGTGTGCTAATTACAATGTAAAGAGCACAGAATGTTTTGATATTACTGGTTTTGAGAGGTTATTTCAATAACATACTAACATATTAGAATCAATCATATTCTGATAATTGAGCATTGTTTATTTTATTGCCGAGAATTGTGATGTCATATTACAACAGAAATTCAGTAACCAGAAGTTATTCTCTATTGAAGTAGAGTTTGTGTAGACTTAATATGATTTTATACCAATTCATTGAGAGTTGGCAAAGTTAAAATGAATGCTCTGACCCTACCCGTCGTAGGTCAGGTTTTTCTGTTGGACCCCATTCAGAATTGGACCTACCTGGATAATGGAGCCAGTCGAAGTTTGATGGCAAGCCAAACCCCGGAGGATACTTAGAGATGCCGCGGACCCTGAATCCTTTTACACTGTGACATACATACACACCACCCTCACACTAGTGAGGTGGGATTTATTTTCCATTGTACAGAGTTGGTTGGACTGAACATTAGTGACATAAGCAGCTGCAGAGATTTTTATTTTATTTTCATACTTACCCGGGTAAGAGTTGTTTAGACTGTGTTAACATTGTATTATTATTGTGGCTTTCCCATTCTGTTTAATAAATAGGGAAGCATTTCTGTTTTCTTAAAGAGTGCACTGTGGTTGTGTCGTTCTTGTGCATCGATTGGTCGATCCTGGGCTCCGTAGTCAAATCTTAGAGCTTCTGATAAGTCTGGCCATTAAATCTACTCATCCCTTCTCTCTTCTTTAAAGAGAGAACTGTTACACTGACACCCTCCCTGCCACCTTCATCTGTCCTCTTTGAGCAGTGCCATGACCTCCTCCTTTCAACAATCCAAAACTTAGAGCAATATCAGCAGGTCAGCAAGCTGCTTCAAACTTGAACTCAAACTTAAAGAGCAGCAGTGTTGTAGGGTTCATACTTCATGTGGATCTTAGTTATTAGCCCACATTAAAAGGAGGGAGTGACCATGTCAATGAGTCTCTCTCTCACTCAGATTGGCTGCAGAGTAAACACTTCTTGCAACATGGGCAGGGGAAAGGAATGAGTGGTGATTGTTCACTTATTGATCATTGACAGTGGTTTCATACAGATGCATACTAACTTCAAACTGTCTGGTTCTGTTTGAGTGGCCTGGGAAACACCGTGGCAAAGCTGCAGCAGGTGATGTGGTGAAAGATTAGATGTGAAACAAGGAAACAATATTGAGCTTATGATGTTGTTGAGACAAAAATACAAAATAAAAAGGTTGTCCCAGAGCTCGAGTCCTGTCAAGTCCCTGAGGGTTCTGTCCAAGTCAAGTCTAAAGTCATGGTCCAGGTGTCAGACTCTGGTCCCCGTCTCTGACTCCAGTCATGAAGAAGACTGATCCTTTCTTCAAATCACATGTTCTGTCTGTGGTCATGTACAGCTTTATTTATTTTCCTTGACTTAATCCTTATTTTGGGTTTAGAGTGGGTCCAGATTCACCCCCTCTAGTGTCCTTCATTCCACGCCTCTGGACCAGTACACTGAGCAGAAAGAGTTTTCATGTCTCTCTCAGCTGAATCTTGATCATCAATGATCAATAATTTATCTCTACTACAAAATAATGTCTTAATATATTTGCTCTCTTAGCTGTTACTACGGCAGAAAATAGGCACATGACAAACCTTTGACTGACTCTGGCCTGGTTGTGTCTTTGTGACGTGCATCAGGAAAAGCTTATGAATAAAGGACAGAAAGAAGCATGGAGGCAGAGAGGATTATTACCCATGGTGCACTTGGCTGCAGAGATGTGACCAAGTTTATATCATGTCTATCTCAGTCTGTTACCGGAATTCCTGACTCATGTTTAGGTGACAGATGAGGAGCACAGTGGAGAAAATATGATGAATTCAAAAAGGCTAACAGTCCACCTAAAACCATTTCCTCATTTCACAGTCCCATCGACAAAAGACCTGTACCTACCTACCAGGGTTTTCATCATCAGTGATGTACTTAAGCTCACCATTGACTTGTCCTAATGGAAAAAAGGGTTGACAATTGTCATCATTTTTGTTAAATAAAGTAACCTCGTATAAACCATATTCTGAATTGGTCAAAATACACAAAAAAGGATGAATAATTCTAAACAACAGGAGTGACACCAGGAAAGACCTGAACACATGTATGACCAGTCAGCAGAAAGAGTCAGCCATATTTCCCCTCTGCCTGTTGACACTGTGGCTAAAAAATATTTGTGTCTGTCTCAGGCTGGTCTTGAGTCAGGAGATAAAGACTGTCGGCAGTTATGTGAGAACAGCCTGAGGAGCTGAAGGACCCCTCCTCTAGTCTGAACAGCAAAGTCGCAGCTGATGAGAGCGTCTGTTTCTGATCTCTACAGAGTTACTTCAACTGTTGTCAAAACAGTCACAGCGTTTAAGTTGTGACGTTAGCTTCAGTTTGGAGAAGGAGGAGGAGAGTTTGAAGAGGACAGAAAAGTCAACATTCATATTCCTGCACTAGTCCTGCTCACCTTGACTAACCTTGCCTTCCATGTAAATGTTTAAAATTGTATCAATTATTCAAAAATCCAGTTTTATGTTAATTGATCGCACAGGGAGGCTGATGTGAAGCTAGGCTTAAAGGTGTTACAGTGCAAGGACTTTCCTCAGCTGTATGCTGAAGATCCATATTTAGTCTAAATTTGTTTATGACTTGAGTTGGTCAGAAGGATAGTGGGACAAATGAAATCCTAACAGGGTGAGCAGGACCCCGATGCAATGGCCTTGTCTTTGAGTGACACAAGACCCCTTTGCAGCAGAGTTCTCCTCGATCATCTCAGCTGAATTGACTTCCAGCTCAACATACACAGTGAAGCTAAAACATTGACTTTTTGTCTCACTCTCCACACATGCAGAAAATCACACCACCACTTCACCTTTCACTCTTCTCTTGGTGTCTTCTTCTCGTTGCACCAGTCCTGTCACACTGGGACATTTGTTTTCTTCAATTTGACTGATGTCCCCTCAACCTAGCCCATATGAACTGTTTTACCACTCCATCACTGCTCAGCCATTAACCACCAATAATAAGATTGTGATTTTTTTCTTCTCTAGATTGTTGCTTGTACTGTTCTCGCTCTCGAGTGTATGTCCCTGTGGATAAAAGTGTCTGTGAAATGACATTGAAACAACATACAATACTGGTATACCACTGTACAATGGTAATAATAATAATAATACATTTCATTTGGAGCGCCTTTCATGTCACTCAAGGACACTTTACAGAACATATAAAACAATGATAACAAAACACTATTAACAATTAGAATCATCAATCATCAAAACAGTTAAAATCAACAAAGCAACATTAACAACAGCAAAGGAATAAATAAAGAAATAAATAAAAGAATGAGTTAGGGGTGTTGGGATGGATAGGCCAGTTTGAACAGGTGTGTTTTGAGTTTGGACTTGAAGAGGGGGAGGGAGTCTATGTTGCGGATGTGTGATGGTAAAGAGTTCCAGAGTCGGGGGGCAGAGCGACTGAAAGCTCTGCCCCCCATGGTGCTGAGGTGAACAGGGGGCACAGTGAGGTGGAGAGAGGAAGAGGATTGGAGGCGGCGGGATGGAGTGGCGATGTGGAGGAGGTCAGACAGGTAAGTAGGGGCAAGGTTGTGAATGGCTTTAAAGGTATACAGGAGGATTTTGAACTGGATTCTTAGTGGGACCGGGAGCCAGTGGAGGTGCTGCAGGATGGGGGTGATGTGGTGGGATGAAGGGGTTTTGATGATGATCCGGGCAGCCGAGTTGTGGACCAGTTTAAGTTTATGGAGAGACGTGTGAGGGAGACCGAAGAGGAGGGAGTTGCAGTAATCCAGACAGGAGGTGACGAGACTGTGGACGAGGATGGAGGCGGTGTTGGGGGAGAGGGACGGACGGAGCCGATTGATGTGGCGGAGGTGGAAATAGGCAGTCCGAGTGGTAAGGCTGATGTGGGATTTGAAGGAAAGAGTACTGTCAAGGATGACACCCCGACTCTTGACCTGAGGGGAGGGGGAAACTGAGGAACTGTCGATGGGAAGGGAAAGACTGTCAATTTTGGATAGGGTGAATTTGGAACCAACTAGAAGAATTTGTGTTTTCTGACTGTTAAGTTGGAGAAAGTTGGCGGTTAACCAGGATTTAATTTCAAATAGGCAGGTGATGAGGGAGGTGGGTGGGAGGGTGGAGTTTGGTGAGCTGGGGCCTCATGTATCAACGCTTGCGGCGCAAGAAAACCTTGCGTACGCCAAAATCGGCGCACACGTCCAGATTTATCATCGCGAAACGAGCGTCGGTTCCAGCGCTAATCAACGCAAAGTCAGGAGGTGGTGTAGAAATTGGCGTTGAGCTGATACTTGCGTTGACTGTGATTCGCACTTTGGCGACGCTGTGTGGCGGTGTTTGGTGACTCACTATGTGACAAGCGTGCACCACATCCCCGTGGCCGAGCAGCACGTCGCCCCACATGACGAACCAGCAGCAGACGGAGGGATGCGAGCTGATCCCTGCCGGGCCGCCGTCCTCGCGCGGGAGAATCTCATCGCCAGTGTGAATGGGTAAGAAGTGAATACACAGTTCAATGAGCCAAATTAATTTATTTTCTCCACCAGACGCTCGAGGACATTTACGAGCCGGTCCAGCCGCTGGTTGATCCCCGCGATCCCCCTGATGATTTCTTCCTGCGATTGCAGGACCCCCTCCGCGAGGACCCTTCCGCTGCGTCCGGGTGGTCCAGCGGAAGCGCCGCGGCTGGTGGACGCTCCACCGCTTGTCGGCGCGCTGGTGCTGATGCTGTTGCTGGTGCTGGGGCCGGGGGCCGGGGTGGCCCGAATGCCGCTGGTCCTGGCCGACGACTCCGAGCCAGCGGACGGGCTGCCGCGGGCCGGGGTTCCGCAAGCCGGCGACACGGCCGACATATTGATTTCTGTGACACAATAAAAATATTTGTTCATTTCAATTCCTGCTTCTGTGTATCTGTTGCGTTTACATCTCTCTCCACGGTATCATAGGTAATGTACACTCACCGGCCACTTTATTAGGTACACCATGCTAGTAACGGGTTGGACCCCCTTTTGCCTTCAGAACTGCCTCAATTCTTCGTGGCATAGATTCAACAAGGTGCTGGAAGCATTCCTCAGAGAGCTTGGTCTATATTGACATGATGGCATCACACAGTTGCCGCAGATTTGTCGGCTGCACATCCATGATGCGAATCTCCCGTTCCACCACATCCCAAAGATGCTCTATTGGATTGAGATCTGGTGACTGTGGAGGCCATTTGAGTACAGTGAACTCATTGTCATGTTCAAGAAACTAGTCTGAGATGATTCCAGCTTTATGACATGGCGCATTATCCTGCTGAAAGTAGCCATCAGAAGTTGGGTACATTGTGGTCATACAGGGATGGACATGGTCAGCAACAATACTCAGGTAGGCTGTGGCGTTGCAACGATGCTCAATTGGTACCAAGGGGCCCAAAGAGTGCCAAGAAAATATTCCCCACACCATGACACCACCACCACCAGCCTGAACCGTCGATACAAGGCAGGATGGATCCATGCTTTCATGTTGTTGACGCCAAATTCTGACCCTACCATCCGAATGTTGCAGCAGAAATCGAGACTCATCAGACCAGGCAACGTTTTTCCAATCTTCTATTGTCCAATTTCGATGAGCTTGTGCAAATTGTAGCCTCAGTTTCCTGTTCTTAGCTGAAAGGAGTGGCACCCGGTGTGGTCTTCTGCTGCTGTAGCCCATCTGCCTCAAAGTTCGACGTACTGTGCGTTCAGAGATGCTCTTCTGCCTACCTTGGTTGAAACGGGTGGTTATTTGAGTCACTGTTGCCTTTTTATCAGCTCGAACCAGTCTGGCCATTCTCCTCTGACCTCTGGCATCAACAAGGCATTTCCGCCCACAGAACTGCCGCTCACTGGATATTTTTTCTTTTTCGGACCATTCTCTGTAAACCCTAGAGATGGTTGTGCGTGAAAATCCCAGTAGATCAGCAGTTTCTGAAATACTCAGACACGCCCTTCTGGCACCAACAACCATGCCACGTTCAAAGTCACTCAAATCACCTTTCTTCCCCATACTGATGCTCGGTTTGAACTGCAGGAGAATGTCTTGACCATGTCTACATGCCTAAATGCACTAAGTTGCCGCCATGTGATTGGCTGATTAGAAATTAAGTGTTAACGAGCAGTTGGACAGGTGTACCTAATAAAGTGGCCGGTGAGTGTAATCCAGTATTTCGAGGTCAGTTATGCACATTACAGTTGTTTATTGCATAAAAAGTTATCGAAAAATGAAGTTAAGGGCGAAGTATAAATCACGTCTAAAAATAGACTGAATCCCGACGTTGAAATGAAGTAGACGTCTAATATACGTCTTTTGCTCAGTGGGATGACAAAGCATGTGGACATTTGTGTGACACGCCACTTACCCTATAATAATAATCACCACCACCCGCTGCTCAAACGGCGTGAGGGTCTCCTCCCCCGGAACCCCATCTGTCTGGCCAGTACTCCTCCGGAGGGCAGCTGTACGCCGCTTGACCTCCACCTTGAGGTCCGACCACTTTTTTTTAATCTCCGCGGGGGTGCGTGTCTCGGAACCCACCGCATTCACCCTCTCGCAAACTTTCTCCCACTCCAAGCGTTTTTGTTTTGCACTGACGCCACTGGACAGGCTGCCAAACAAAACACGCTGTCGCTCCACCTCCGCCACAAGCACCTCCACCTCGCACGCCGTAAATTTAGTTTTTCTTGTCATTTTGTCTGCGTGCGAGGACAGGGAGACCCTATTTAAATAAATCTGCATATTTATAGGAGGGCGTAACGGGGACGGGCCCAGTCACTCTGACATCTGCGCTCAATTCCACGCTGATTGGGATTTATCAAGGAAACACACGTGGATTTCGGCGCCCGCACACATTGATACATACGGATTTTTTTCAGCGTTACGGACCTTGCGTGCGCTTGTTTCTGGTATGAGTTCCACGCAAGTATTGATACATGAGGCCCCTGGAGAGGTAGAGCTGGGTGTCGTCCGCGTAGCAGTGATATTGAATGTTGAATTTACGGAAGATGGAACCAAGGGGGAGGAGGTAGGTGATAAACAGCAGGGGGCCCAGGACAGAGCCCTGGGGCACACCTGAACTGACTGGGGAGGGGTCGGACTTGAAGGATTTGAGCTGGATGAACTGTGTGCGGTCTGAGAGGTAAGAGTGGAACCAGCGGAGAGGGGTGTGGGAGATGCCGATGGAGGAGAGTCTATGGAGGAGGATGGGATGGGAGATGGTGTCAAAGGCTGCACTAAGGTCGAGGAGGATGAGGATGGAAAGTGAACTGGAGTCAGCTGCAGTGAGAAAGTCGTTGGTGATTTTTAGCAGTGCGGTTTCGGTGCTGTGGCGGGGGCGAAAACCAGATTGGAAGGGGTCGTAGAGGGAGTCCTGGGTTAGGTGGGTGTGTAGTTGGCTGGCGACGACCTTTTCCAGTATTTTGGCTGTGTATGGTAAATTGGAGATGGGCCGGGGGTTGTTGAAGTTATTGGGGTCAGAGCCAGGTTTTTTCAGGATAGGGGTGATGGCTGCTGTCTTGAGGGATGCGGGAACAGTTCCAGTGGTGAGTGAGGAGTGAATGATGGCAGATATGAGAGGAAGCACAGATGGGAGGCATGATATGACCAGTGTGGTGGGAAGGGGATCCAGCTGACAGGTTGAGGGTTTGGATTTCCGGATGAGATCGTAGATTTCAGAGTCCACGGGGAGAAGAAAACTGATGATGTGGCAGGGGAGTTGGTGGGGTCGGAGGGGGTCCTTTTTTAGCTGGTATACAGATCAATTTCCACAATATAGGACTACAAAACTACCTATCAATTACAAAATGCAAATTTGATTTTACATTTTAAAGTTTCAGATCAGGGGCAGCACAGTGGTGTAGTGGTGAGCACTGTTGACTCATAGGGATTTGTCTTCTTCCAACCTTTAAAAGTGAGTCATAGTCAGCCGTGGTTGTGTTATTCAGTTATAAAAACAGTTTTCAAATTCAAAAACCATCTACAACAAAGAGCAGCAGAACATTTAAAACAATATATTATTTTCCAATCAGCCAGCTTTGAGTTTAACCCAGAGTTTGACAAACCCAGTGACGGTCATTAACTCACACACAGGCTAAGCTAATCATCAGACAAACTGGAAAGAAAGTCTGGAGTACAAAGCTTACGGTACCAGGGACCTTTGATGTCAGGGTCAGATTTTCTCCTGACTCTCCTGATTGCCTCAGAGAGGTCTGATGACATCTACTGCAACTCCTGACCTCAGAACAGACCGATCATCCAGCCCTCCAAGACCACCTGCTAGCTCCTCAGCAGGTGAGCTGGTTGCTCTTGTGACCTTTCAAGTCCAACAAAGAAGATAATAATTTTGTTTAATAGAAAACTCCTCAGCAGAGTAATGCCAGATTTCCCCTTGTCCTACACAGTACTAGATTTTACTATAAGTTTTTTCTACACCTTTTTCTACCCTAGAAGTACCATATATTACAAAAACTTAAACCAACACTGTAAATGATATAAATAAAACTATAAGTTACAATTTTAGGAAATACACTGAACTTAAAATCCCCCAAACTGAGGAAAACTAAATTTAAATCAAAATTTGAAACTGATTGAGTGTTTCAAATCTGTTATAACTTTGTTGTGTGCATATTATTTGTTTTCACCGCCTTGTCATATGAATAAAGCTTTTTTCCCATTAAAAAGGAAAGACTTTGTGTGTTTTGAGGCATTCTTGACTGTCAGACACAGCAGAACTGAATTACCAGCTTTTATATAACACATTACAATGGTGACAGTTTCTGGCTTAATGTCCCCTGATCACAGTGGCGGCTGCTGGTCTTTCAAGGAGGGGAGGCTCATTTTTCTGGCCTACATCATAATTGTATTTGTTTATTTGTATGTAACAGAACAGAGTCGCCAAACACAACGGCAGTCGTTTTTAACAAAGACAAAAGTCGCTGAGGATCAGTAAAGTCTCCGGAGCAGTTAAGAACAACGGAATGAATAACTTGGAAAATGCTCTGGTAGATGTTTTATTCTTCAAGATCGCTGATTTGCTTGTTTAGCTGTCAATCAAAAAAGGATCTCGCCTCAGACAGCTCATCCAATCATGGATGCAGAAGCTCAGCGTCCGTGAGAAAGTCGGGACCGCCCTCTCGTCATAGAACTCCGGAGACGCAGAGCGTCCGATGGGCGGGACAAAGCCCAGCATTTATCCAGTGAGCGTCTAGTTTTGCTGCTGGAACAACCCACTTTGAGCTTCCACATTGAAGTCAGCAGACGCTGAGCGTCCGGCTGTGTGAAGCGCTGAGGCGCTGCGAGGATGAATGAGAACGAAGTTGTGCCGATTACCTGTGATTATCAGCTTCTTATCACACTGTTGATAAGAAGCTGATTCTGAACAAAAGATGAAGGCTTTCTAGCGCGTATTTAGTTAATGAAATGTACACAGAGCAGTACGTATTTCACCACTTTTTCTTTTTTTGGGGGGGTGACATTTTAAGGGAAGCTGAGCTTCCCTTGCAGTCTTAGAGCAATCGCCACTGCCTGATCATCTTTGAGACTGTTTTTTCCCAAACAGAGACATGGTACTTTCAAAAGAACTGAGCAGTTCATGACCATGAATATCTTTGCAGACTGCTTAAAAAAAAGATGTTGACTGCAAAGTAAGAGCGCCTGGGTCTTTACCTACAGCCTGCTGTTTGCTAAAATTTAATCAAGGTCACTGCGATGGATCTGGCATGTGTTTCAGTAACTGGAGAAAACGTGTCACTCATTAGAGAGTGCAGATGGAGCGTGTACCTGTCTCCTTTGTTTGGCTGAGCAGAGAGTTAATCAGCTGAAAAGAAAACCCTTAGTCTACAGATGCAACATGCTGGAAAGAATTATACATTAATCTGTGCTCTGCTTCCCCGGCATCACTGTCGTCTGAATGTGAAAGAGCTGCCTACTGACTGAAGAGGCTGTTGGAAAAGTGAAAGAGACAAGCAAAACAATCCCCTGACGAAGTTATTGTTCCCATTAGAAGAGTTAACAGGCTGAGCTCTTCTTTCAGGAGATGGTGCTGAGCAGAAAGAGGAGTGAATATTAGACTTTTTTATCAGGGGTCCGGAGCCAGAACTCTGATTACTGCTGATGCTGCTCTTTGTCTGCTGGCAGTAGAAATGTGCAGCGGTGAGCTCATATCAACATTTAAAGAACATTTTATGGTTATGATTGGTTGTTTTTTACATTCAGGGTAACTAATGACAATTTTGAGAGTGAGAATTATCTTTTTGTACTCTTAACTTAGAATCTACAAGTCCTGCAATGAGGTCAAGGTGAATGTGAACAAGATAATATTTACAGAAAAATAAGGGCAGGAAGATGTTAGTTTAAATTAGCATTAAAAGACTATCATGGTGCTGAAATGTGGGCAATTAATGCTTTAAATGGGCTGGTACCATTGACTGAGAATGCATTTAGTAGCTCAGGAGGTAGAGCAGTTGTCCAATAACCAGAAGGTTGGCCGTTCGATTCCCCTTTATCCCTTGTCTGTCCGTTGTGTCCTTGGGCAAGACACTTAACCCACCCTGCTTCCGGTGTGTGTCCTTCACTGGTGTAAGATTGTGAGTGTTGTGTGGTGGTGGTCGGAGAGGCTGTAGGCGCAAACTGGCAGCCACATTTCCGTCAGTCTGCCCCAGGGCAACTGTGACTACTTATGAAGTTTACCACCACCTGTGTGAGCAAATGAATGATGTATCCAATGCAAAGTGCTTTGAGGGTCTCTGATAAAACGCTATATGAAATCTGATGCATTATTATGTGCCTGCCAAGTCGTGCAAGACCGGCAATATATGCACATATTGTTATCGTCTGGGCAGGCTCAGTAACAGCCCCAAAATGCCCAGCAACAGGGCATACGCCCCTGAAATGGGCAGGGGGTGATGAAAAAAACAAACAAAAAAAATGCCCCCCAAAATTGCCCATTAGTGTGTATTGCGTGCCAAGGCGTATATTAGTATCCTAGAAGGCGGGTTTATTTTTTTTATTATAATAGACGCACCTTCAGCAATTAATGTGGCCTGAACGGTAAGGTTCATCTAGGTGTGGCATATACCAAAACGTGTGTCTCCATCGTGTGACACTGAGTATTACTTTTCTTTATCATTACTGTTTCCATGGCAATGCTAGACACCCAAAAATATCTCCATGTAAGCGGATGGGAGAGGGCAAGACAAAAGACTTTGAGACTTTGGCGCCTTGCCCTGTCGCCATACTTTGACGTAGAAGCGTGATTAAAACATCAATACATTGACACTGGACCTGTGATTTCAAAAGTGTAGATGGCTCGTTGATATCTGGTAGGGTTTGGCCAAGGTAACTGTTCAAGCAAGGGGTGCAAATTGTCAGCAAGAAGCCTTTTGTGGGAAAACGGCATTTCAATATCTCTTACGGTTTTCCTGTAAAGTGAGTTTGTTTGGGCCAGTCCTGTTCTAAACTAGCCTGGCCGGGCCATCCTGTTGCGTGAATCACTTGCATTTCCTTCCCACCACAGTCTGGACTTCGGCCCATAGAGAGCGTGTATTCCCGATCAGAAAATAACTGGGCCAATCAGAGACCGTGTTTCCACTGTTACCCGGACAACAGGGAAAGGCAGCCCCTGATTGGTCCATGTGTAGTGGTGACGTCTAACACATGCTGCGGGACTTTTCAAAGTCCCGTTCATTCAGAATGGTGTTAATTCTGCAGTTGACTCTGCAAAGTCGGCAGAAATCGTTTATATCCGACGTCTTCTGTGTATAATTCTCCTCCTCAAATCTTGTATGATGTAATTTACAGCTCTTAAATTATGCACCAGCCGGTACTTAGAGTTGTCACTTTTAAGAACTGAAAAAATTGGTGTGTTGCATGTACTGTTCATTTCAACTAATACACCTACTTTTAACAGTCCCTCTATGGTTTTACTTATATCAGCTTCGGCTTCTGTTTTTAGCGGATGTCTTGATACTTATGACAATGTGATGCTGAAACACTAAAGGATTTAGTATCTCCTTGTTTGTGAAACCTAGCTACTGAGGTTCAATTAATCTAAATTCTCCACAGCGCTCATTTAAACAACTAACAACAGGTTAGAATAGCTATAAGCTACGACTTTATTCACGTAAGTAATGATTTAATTATGACCTTATCCTTGTAAGAAATAATTTTATTATGGCTTTATTCTTGTAAGTAATTACAAAGTCTTACTTTTTTTTTTCTTAATGCAGCCCTAATACTGCATCGTAGCCTACTACAGGCTTTTGAAAAACATTTTCCACTCCACTTCGAGTGTTCAAAGTTGTCTCATTATCAAAAAAAATTTGAATGAAAAATTCTTACGAGGATGTTTTTTTTTTTTTTTAAATCATTTTTCAAAATCTTCTAATTAATTCATTTCTTTGGGGAAAAACGTCACTGTGGGCAATAAAAAATAAAAAAATGCTGAAAGACCAAGACAAAAAATTCACCCTATCATGGTGGTTGAATGTCACTTTACTTTGATTCTTAGTCAAAACGGTTTTGACGAAAGTCAGTGGTTTAACACACACATACACACACAGCAGAAACACACACCTCAAAAATCACACACACTAAAATATTGGCTTAGCTGAGTAAAGCACACTTTTTCCTCCACACACAGCATCTGCTGTCAGACAAGACAATTACACGATGGAAGAAAACTGGAGTATGCTGGGTTTAGTTGGGTAAAACCACACTCAGACACTCTGATACAAACACACAAACAAATACAAAACCTCTAACACACACACACACACACACACACACACACACACACACACACACACACACACACACACACATGCAGCATCTCCTTTTTTAATTCTGTGCAGGCAGACACCAAACACAAGCAGACAGACAAAAACACAAATATGTGGACACTGTACAAACATGAGCATATACTCAAGGAGTGTGTCTACTCACACAGATGCCACACAAATACACAAGTACACACACTCACAAGTACTCACCCTCACAAGTACACACACACTTGCACAAAATACTGGGCTGCTGCTGCCTCCCTGCTATGCATGTTGACCCTGCAGATGTAGGTTCAGTCTGCCATGCTCTGAGCTTTGGCTTTGACTGTGTGTCACAGGCTCACCAACAAGTCTGTTCACACTCACACACATGCACGCACACACAGTTACATACTCTCACACAGCAATACATGTGATGATAAACATCCAGATCACTTCGGCTACTGTAAATGCATCAGTATGTGGGCATCACAGATTTGCAAAGTGTGTGTGTGTGTGTGTGTGTGTGTGTGTGTGTGTGTGTGTGTGTGTGTGTGTGTGTGTGTGTGTGTGTGTGTGTGTGTGTGTGTTCCTGCCAGGCCTGCACTAATAGTCTAAATGCTTCCTGAGGAGTTGCCCAGAGCTGCATTAGCCT